ACGGATACACTCCAGATACGGAAGTCATTTTGTTACTCATTCAGATCTCCTATTCATGATACAGTAAAGATACACTCCAGACACGGAAGTCATTCTATTACTCATTCAGAATTCAAAGTCAAGATACAGTACATATACACTCCAGACACGAAAGTCATTCTGTTACTCATTTAGACCTCAACCTCATGATACAGTTCAGATACGCACCAGACACGGATGCCATCCTGATACTCATTCAGATTCAACTTGCAGATCTCTTATTCAGATACAGTCCAGATACGCCCCAGACACGGTTGCCATTATGTCACTCATTCTGATTTTCCCCAGCTCAGATACACTCCAAACATGGAAGTCATTCTATCACCTATTCAAGATACAATCCAGATACGCTTCAGACACGGAAACCATTCTGTCACTTATTAGGATTCAAATCTCCAGATACAACTCAGATACGTTCCAGATACGGATACCATTCTGAGGCTCATTCTCCTGATTTACAACAAACATTCTTGGATGGCATCTACAAGCCCATCTCCAACAAGATTCTATCACATCTCCAAATGGCATCTTTAAGCCATTTCCTCAACTACATTTTGACGAGTGCAAATTTACGGACACTCTAGTGTCCAATCATCTTTTACCTTCGAGTCACGAATGGCAAATCTCGCCAATCTAACTCTTCAGGTTCAAAAAGATTGAACAGGGGCAGCTGTTGTATCCCAAAATTTTCCCACTCATTTTATCAAGATTCTCCTCACAAGACTTCTTGGACTCAAGACCAGATTAGGGTTTGCTCAGCTCAAGACATCTCCTTGCACTGATGACCTGAAATTAGGGTTTGAGTTTGCACAGGGATTTTTGGACTTTCAATGCCTCATGAGACTTTCATACTTCATGTTGGACCTCTAAGATTGCTCATACCAAGTTTCAAGCCTTGAATCACTTTTTTGCCCAGTCAATTGGACAGTTGACCTAAAAATCAACTGTATTTGGGAAAAAGTCAACCATGGCCAATTTACAGTTAAACCTCATAATTTTTATCCACATCAGCATTATAGACTCATATGAACCATTTTATCAAGTTTGGATCACAACTCCTCAAGAAATTTGATCAAATCATCAAAAGGGCAAAATGGTCAAAATTAGGGTTTTGACTGTAGAAGGGAAATTTCTGATTTTTCACCTAGACAATGACCAATTGGGTTCAAGTATGGTTTCAAGGACTCAATGGTACCATCTTGACCTAATCACAAGGTTCAAAAGATCTCAAATGCAATGGATTGACAGATGAATTTTCTAGTCAACTGATCAAAAATCAACTATACACTGAAAAGTCAAACTTTGACTTTTTGGTCAAAATCAAGTGACAAGGGTCATATTCCATCAATATGTGTCAAAACATGAAACTTGTTCACCAAGAAACTTAAATTTGGAAATTAGGGTTTAAGTTTGAAATTTTTCATAACTTAGAATTTTTCTAAGATGAAAATTTCTTTTTTTTTTCCAACTTTTCCCAACTTTTTCACCATGATGCATTTGGATTCAAAGAAAACTTCCAACATGAAAGTTGTAGTCCTACACAAAATATACAAATTTTATTCACAAAGTTTTCCCAAAAGATCCTTGGATATCAAGTTATGGTTTTGTGAATAAGGGTCCATAAACTTTTTAACTTAGTGAAAGTTTGCCCTAGTTTAGGCAGATTTTTGACCAAACTTCATGGCAACTTTTCATATAGTTACAAGAGGAATATAAAAATGCATTTCAAAGATGGATTATAGTGCATGTTACGAGCTTTCCAAAATGTCCAAGAACTCTCCAAGATCATTTATGGTTAGGGAGAATCGAAAAAATGAAAATGGCAATTTATCACTTTTGTTCAAGACATTTTTCACATTGGTACAAGTTGCAAATCAGTTTCAAACATGCTTGTACTTGGTTTTACAGGTCCTAATCCTTTCTACACTCCATAATTAAATTCAAACACATTGGATAATGGTCTTGTTCTGACTTTTGAAGCATTGCACATTGAATTAATCCAAAAATGGCATAAAGTTCACATTGCTACTTTGATAAAGCTAGCTTTTTACAACTTTGTTTATCTTGAGCCATTGACCTAATCTTTTGCTGCAAACAACATCCACAAACATCAGGTAATTTGTACCAACTCTCATCAGACCTCAAGCTAGCCTGTACAGGCCTTTGGCTTTGTCACTTCACCTTTTCTTCAAAAGCAAGCAAACTTGCAAAAGTCAAGCAAGCTTGTGTATCTGATAAAACCAAGACTAAGCATCATTTGAACCAACTTCAGAACTTTGTTGCAAGCCTAAACACGATTGCCTAACATCTCAAACACCCTTAAACACAAAAAACACGATTTTCTGCCCAAACAGGGCATCATCTATAGAACTCAAGTCATTTTGAAATTGGCTCGTGCGTTTTGCCTTTCAACCCTTCAAACATCTTCTCTACAACACACCTGAACTATCCAGGCCCCTGTCCAGCAACTGTGAGCTCAGTTTCACACTTCACCATTTTCACTTTGCAAGTTTGCAGGTTGACTTCTACAAGGAGATTCAAGCAACTTCAAGGCAAGCTAAGCATTGGGAAAGCTTGAGGGAACTTCAAGCAAGCTCACAAGAACTTCAGGCCTCACTCAAAGTGCCCACATTGCCATATCCAAACTCATCTGAACAAGGTATTTGTCAAGTTTCTATCTCTCTATTTAGGCATCCTTAAGCTTAGGTTTGTGAAGCAAAAATGTAGTCCTTAACATGCTTGAGTTGTACATATGCGTAGTTTCCATTTATATTAGTTGAGCTGAGAGTATTTGATTGTTGAAGTTCATGAAAAAACTAGGTCAGAAATTAGGGCCATTAAAATTCTCTTTGGTCTTTTAGAGTTAGGTCATGTTCTTTATATCATTAGAATCGTGAGTTTATAAGCTACATTTTTGTGTTATGAGTTTTTGATTTTATGCAAGCATGAGCAAGAACAGGATTTGTATAACAGAGGCGCGCGCGTTGTTGTCTGGAGGTTAGGGATGAAGATGGTTGGGCCTGGCGCTTTGGGTCTGTTTCTTTTTGCACCCTCCATTCTGCTTTTGCACCCCCTCCTTGGCCCATTTTCTATATTTTTGCATATTTTTCATTTCCTTTATATTTTTGACTTTATTATTTTTTTTCTGAACATTAAAAAATCCCAAAAATATTTTCCTAATTTTTTTTGTATTTTTATTTTATTATTTTTGGCATAAAAGATAGTTTTGTAGTAATAATATAATTCATTTTCTTAAATAAACTTGTAAATAATATAAAAATATCATATATTTTTATTTTTATTATTTATACACTTAAAATAATATTTTCATGCATATTTCAATTTTTTAACATTTTGTATATATTATTATTATTTTTTCTTGAACAAAATGAATATAACAAATGATTAGAAAACAATATTTCTTTTAAAACAAAATTAGGGTTTTCACCCTTTCAAAAATTATTTTTTTATTTTTTTATTTTTTAGACTTAAATAAACTTATTTTTACATATATAAAATTAATACAAAAAACATTTTTGCATACATACATTTTATTGCATATTTAAATACTTGCTTATTTATTTATTTGTACAATAATTTCAATTTGGTTGTAATAGTTTTAGGGTTTTATTTTGAGCAATATCCCTCATTCAAAACTTGTATCCCCCCTCCCATAATGTTGTTGTAATAGTCTAGATTTACTTTACGCACTTTATTGCTTTCATATACCATGATAGTAAACTAGGGTTTTGTATGCAAAGGCCAAAAATCAAAACAAATAGCATGACCTTAATACAAGACAAAAATGCATGAAAAATGACAACACATTGCACACAAGCACCCCTAGGGTTTCATCCACTTTGTTGCTTTAACACATGGCCATGGTATGCATGCTAGGTATCTTGGCAAAATCATACAGAACAAAAGATCATAGTCCCTCGATGACGCTATCAAAAGGTTGCCTAAACAAAGATGATCTTAGTCTCTAAAAATGCTAAAATGCTTGGCAGCATTGCTATCATGGTCATACGATGACCCATGCCCGTCCTGTTTAACATCCAAAGATAGAGTTTTTTACCAAATGCAATGGTAAAACAACAATGTCAAAGGAATAAAAATGTGTAGGAAAGACTTTTGAGTAGGGTAGATAACTCCTAGTTACTTGATCTCTTTCAAACAATCCTTGCTATTTTCAAACAAACACACACATTTCAAAACAATTTCCAAACAAATTTCAAAACATTGAAACATTTTTCAAAAGACAAACATCTTTGTATACATTCTTACAAACGAGAATCATTACAAAGATTGCCTAAACAAAGGCCTCTTTTCAAAATACTTTCAAAACCACACAAAGCACCATTTCAAACAATTGGAAAAGTAAAGCAAGTGATCTAAACAAGTAACTAAGAGCCCATGGAAAACCATGGATGAAAAGGGTGCTAGCACCTTCCCTTTTCATAATCTACCCCCCGAACTCAAGAAAACATCTCAAAGTTCTTTCCTGTGCTTTTTTGACCTTTCCTTTTAGATAAAATAAAATTCGGTGGCGACTCTTGCTAAACCAAAACATTTGCAAACACAAACGCAAAACCTCAAGTCAGTTCTCCCACCGTATCATAATGTGAATTCTAAATTGAAAGAAGAGAAATAATTGAAGAGGATATCATTACATTAAAGGTCACCGTTCACATTATCATTTCAAGTACATCACAAATAGCAAGAAGATTACATCAAGCCATTTACACCACGAACCTATCATGGGTCTAATCTCTAATATGTCCCCATGCCCCCAAAACTTTCATGCCTTAATAATAATCTCCGAGTTTCCATCATCATGATCATGATCACCGTCCCTGTTCCTCCACCTTCAGTGGCCTTGTTGGTAAACAAAAAAAAAGCAATGCAAAGTTGCAGAATACTACAAACAACAGGAGAGGCTCCTTGAGGGATATAATGATATGGATACCATGACTGAAACAGGACTTTTCCCAGGAAGTCTTACCGAGGATGAAATGAAGCAATTAGAAAAAAGTGAGAGACTAGCAGTTAACGTGTCAAATGCAGTAAACTTGGTGTTATTTGCAGCCAAAGTGTATGTTTCAATTGAGAGTAGATCATTAGCAGTGATTGCATCCACTTTAGATTCTCTCTTAGATCTCTTGTCATGGTTCATATTGCGGTTCACTGCTAATGCCATGAAAACACCAAACCATTATCACTATTCAATTGGAAAGAAAAGGTTGCAACCAGTGGGTATCATTGTTTTTGCATCCGTAATGGCAACCTTGGGATTGCAGATTTTGATTGGGTCTGGTAGGAAAATTATTTCCAAGTTGGATTAGTTGCTGCTGTGTTGGCTGTCAAGTTCTTTTGGTGGATTGATCCATTGGGATCTATTATTATAGCACTGTACACAATTATTATATGGGTGAAGACAGTGATTGAGAATGTATCATCACTTATTGGAAGGACAACACCACCTGATTTTCTAGCAAAGTTGACATATCTAATATGGAATCATCATGTAGAAGTTAAACACATAGATACTGTGAGAGCATACACTTTTTGTGTTCACTATTTTGTTGAAGTAGATGTTGTGTTTCCAGAAGACATGCCATTACCCAAACAATTCGACACCTGTGACATTGATTCCAAGGTCAATCTTGAGCTATTGGCCAATGCGGTTCTTATAGGTATCAAAGGCAAGAATGTTCGGAGTGTGATTGAGAGTTTGAACAAAGTGGAGAGTATTGCCAAGATTTCTTTATCTACTCATCTTGATGCCCCTGTCATTGCAAATAAGTGTCGTCAATTGGTTACAAGTGGCCACATTGAAGAAGCTGTTGAGCTGATGGAGGTCTTCTCACGTTTCCAGTCATCAATTGCAGAACTGGTTCAACCATCTGACATTCTAAAAAGATGTGTTCTTAAATGTAAACCAATCCATTGTAGCCCAAGACATGTATAAATAACTTAAGCTTTTGGAATCTGTAGGACAACTGAAATTAGATGTTTCTTTACCTACAGCATAATTCTAAAAGTCTTTGCAGATGGAAAGTTGTGGCAAATGGCTCTAAAAAATTAAGCATGACATGCTTTATGCTGGTGTTTCTCTTAATAATGTTGCGTGGTCATCATTAATCAATGCATTTGCACACACAGGGCATGTGGAGCAGGCAATTCAGTTATTTAAAGAAATGTCTTTGTCTGGCTGTGAACCCAATACACAGTGTTTCAACATCATTTTGAATGCAGGTGTTGAAGGTTGTCAGTATGACAGGTCTTTCCGCTTTTTCCATTCTTGTAAGGGAAATAAGATGTTAGTGTCCTTTGATGGAAGCAACAACAGACTTCTACTATTCATCAACAACAAGCACCAATGACCCAACAGTTAATATTACCTCCACGGCAGCAATTGATGCCACAGATTCAATCTCAGCCTGCACAATTGCAACAGCAACCAAATTGTTTGCAACTAATCATGCAATCACAGGCTTCTCATAGAAATACAGAAAAAAAGAACTTCGAGATCTTAAGGCTTTGAAGTTGAGAATTAAGATCAAAGAAGTGAATCAATGGAGAAAATGAGAGCATTTGGAACCTTTCTGTTTTCCATGTACTTGGTTACAAGCTCCATTCCCCTGTGAGAGATTCTTCAAGGGAAAGGCTATTTGAACTTCATGAAATTTTTAAGACAGTACCTTCACCTTGTATAGGAAAACAGCAACAGATTAATATTTCCAAGATAATACCTATGGACAGCCATTGCAAAACAAACCCTCTAACTGACGACTAATTCCCATAACTAATTTCTAACAATTTTCTAACAAACTCCAAATTGTTCTCCTAAGCCAAAAACAGAATGCCCAACTAACATAACCACCTTGTAACAAACTTTCAATCTCACCTTTCAATCCCTAACAAACTCTACTCAAATCAATGGTTCGGATTGATTCTCACATATCTGTTTCCATCTCCCTCAACTACCTATATCATCCAAACTCCCTCCAACTTTCAAAGGACCTCGTTACTCTCTCTTTTCCAGTTCCAAAACTTCATCCTCTCTCCACCATTTTTTTCTATCCTCTTCCATCAACACGCTTCATTTTTTCACCCAGAACTCAAAAAGTTTTCGGAATTCTCTCTCTTTATTCTCTAACCAATACTCTCCACCCTTCAAGCCACTCTTCATTTTTCACCTACTTCTGAAACCTTGCTTCATCTTCATCAAATCATCTCTATGTAAACTCAAATCACACTCCTGCGATCTCACTCAAATACAACTCACAACGACAATCGCAACAATCCTACGCCCCTTCCTATCAAAAGCTCATCAATACACGCACTTGGAAATCACAAAGAAACGCAAGAAAAAGGAAAGAAGAAGAAGAGCGGAGGAATAGTTCGTGCAACCGGAGTTATAGAAAGTACGTACCTGAAGTCAAAGAATCTCGCTGATAATCACTTTCCCCAGATTGTATTCTGTCCGGTAAGCTTTAGAAACCTTCGAATAATTTATCTCCTCGTAGTTTTCTTTACATATAGCGGTAGCTTGTAGCTTGTAAGGGAGGATCTTGGTAGTTGCCACCATTACTTCATCGTCACTACCACGAATTGCAAGTTCACTATGGTTTCAGAAAAAAGTTGATGTTGTGGATTAACGAGAAGTTAGCGAGTCTGGGAGCGAGATTTGCGATCAAGATTTAGTTTGAGGAAGGCTTCGGGTTCATACTCTGGGTGATTAGAAGGGTTCAGCGGTGGCGACACTACCGGAAGCTGCATACGAGTGTGAGGAGATGAAGAAGGGAAACGATGAAGAAGAGAGCGCCACTGGAATTTGTGTTTTTCCTTTAATTCATTTAAAAAAAATTTATTTTATTCAAACATAAAAAAATTTGACAGGATGTAGAAAAGGGGCTATAGACCAAGTTTAGGGCCCTCTAAGCCCATCAGGTACCTTTTGTGAAGCCTAAAAAAAAACTATAACCAAAAAAAATACTTCATGGACTGGGCCTAGAATCTGAATTGGGATCGCTATGCAGTGGCATCGTGTATAACTTACACCTCCTGGGCTGGTTCTCACTATTTGCAAATTTCTTTTTTTTCTTAATTTTGATTATAGTTTAAGACTTGTTTTAATTTTCTTCGCAAAATAAAAAAATATAAAAAATCTGTAAGAATTTGTTAGGTTTTTATTATTTTTGATTTCTTAGGAGTTAATTCGTGGTTATCCGATTATTTGAAATTCATGATTCACCTTTGCTTTGTTGAGATTTAAATCTTATGCAGGTTCATTATGCGATATGTGGATACGCTTGAAATTTCGATTGTGATTTATTTTCATATCTAGGACGCTTCGACGCTTATTCCGAGTATTGGATTTCTAACTCTTTTCTTTGTTGATGCTAACACCTCACGAGATCGTCGAGTATCTTTGCTTTTTCTGCTTTGCTCTACGGGCTAGTATTCGTTTGGTATATTTTCTTTCTATTTTCACCTTGCATTTATCTCTTCCCATATATCATATTAAGTGTAATAAAATTAGGTTTAGAAATAGGCTAGTCTCATCTGGACTTTTCTTATTCTTTTTGCATATACATTAGCCAAAAAAAAGAAACTTCTTTTTCTTACAAACCTCAAAACACTTAAGAATTTACTGACAAGAATCATGTCTTTGCTAAGTTCGGGAGATGATAAGCGGGTTTCTTCCCGACCTTATTATTCTCTTATTCTAGGCTTTGGCGTGGTTCAAGTCTCAAAGAATCATTTCAGGAATAAGTAGAGGCATGGATAAAATCTCTCCCTTGAGATTAACTAGCTGTTATCTACAAGTAAAAACACCAACTAATACAAACTCTTTTTGCCTTCGGGCCTCTCTTTCAAACTTTTTCAAAAGAGCATGTTAATTCACTTTTGCTGACGCGTAAGTCTCCGAAGGTCGAGTTGCGGCAGAAGGCGGAATTAATATTGTTCAGTAAAAAATACAAACCAACAAACAAAAACATAAGCCTAACTACAGCTGCTCTGATTCCTTAAAAGGGATACGTAGGCATCGGGGTAGGGCCCGAACGAGCACAACAATTTTATTTTCCCTACATTTTTTCCCTTTCTTTTGCATGCATTCTCCCTTTAGCAGTAATAAACAGTAAGCATAGATTGAACACACCCATAAGATAGATAACAAGAGTGGATACCATAGAGTACTACAGGCGTGTGGGGTGCTAATACCTTCCCCTCGTGTAACAGACTCCCTTACCCTCATCTCTTGTTCGTTCGACCTTGATTTCACGCTCTTCAGGTTTTCTCGATGTTTACCTTTCCCTTCCTGTGGGATAAAAGACGTTCGATGGTGACTTCATTTTTTGATGATTTTCAGCCGGTTGTTTCAATCCCACATGCATAACATGACCATTTTTTTAGGCAACAAGTGGAGTTAACCTTAGGGGTGTATGTGTGAATAGTGTGTATTTTTTTCATGCTTGGTTTATCTTGAATTAGGGTTCTCTACTTGTTGATTTTATCTTCCCATATAAATCCTAATTACTAGCATTTATATGAAAGCGATAAATTGCGGAAAGTAAATATTCTACGCTATTACAATCATTAGGGGGATGGGGTATACAAATTTATAAATATGGATTGTAATAAATTGAACCTAATTATCTATTACAACCATATTGAAACTTGAATAATGTACAAGAATTGAAAGGAATATAATGTACAAGGATATAAATGGAAAAGAAATGGATTTTGTTTGGTTTTTGAGGAAAGGGTTTAGTTTTGACCAAATTAACTAAAAGAAATAATTAACTAAATTAAGAAAGTTAAACCTAAATCAATTAAGAAATTATTAAATTAGAAACCATTTTTAGGGTTTTTTTATGAAAAAGGTTTTTATTTAATTAAACTAAAATAAAAATTAATTAAAAGAAAAACTAAATTCTAAGTTAATTTAAATAAAGGAAATTAAAACCTAAGTCTAATATTAATTTGTTTAGGAAAAGAAATTAATTTTGCAATAAGAAAATATTTTTGTGTTTTTTATTAATAAAAATAATATTCATAATAATATTAATATTAATAATAATTTTTAAAGAAAATAAAATAAGAAAATAAATAAAATAAAGAAATGAAATCAGGGGGATAAAAATTAGATTTGGGTGTTTATTTGTGTAAAACAGTTTTTGTTTTGTTAGGCCCAATGGCCTGTTTTTGGAATCAGAAAAGAAATAAAAAAATGGTCCTGCGTGATGATAAGTATACAGGGGGTATTATTAATCAAAAATGCAAGGCCTTGTGAAGGATGGTCCAAGGCGTGCTAGTTGCTTGCAAAAAGGAAGAAAATGTTGGGAAAATGAAAAAGTGACAGCGCTGGGGCTTGAACCCACGCCCTTCACATAATACGCGCGCTGCCTTACCACTGGGGTGGCTATACATCCATGTATTAAACTGAAACCATGTTATTATATTACAAAACAAATTCTAGGCTTGCACTTCATCTTCTTCCCCGCGCACGTTTACAGTGAGAACAACAACATTTTTGAATTTGTGAACTTGTTCATTTCTCAATCATTTTCAAAACTTCAAACACCAAACTTGTTAGAAATTTCACCACGATTCTAAATATGTAAATAACTTAAACTAGTTCTCAAAGATGAGCATGAATTTCTGTTGGTACCAAATCTAACCTAATATTTTCATAAACTTCAACTCCAAAATTCTCCCTACTGAATCAATATAAATGAAAACTATGGACATGGGCAATTTCAGGGCAATGATATCTATATTTTATCTTTGAAAATGATCGCCTAACAATGCCTAAATGAAGAGATGAAAGTTCAGAAAATTACCTCTAAAACTGGAAATTATGGAATGAGTCTGAGCTTGTTTCAAGTGGTGGTGATGATCAGGTTAGCTTCCTCAAGTTCTCAGGAAGCTAATGCAACCCTTACTTGGTGTTGGAAGTGC